GTGGGCTGAAATTCCACCGCACTAGCAAACAAACCATAGGATATGTGCCCTCTCCTATCCTCTAACCTAACCCTAGCTCTCTCCATCACTCCTCTCATCCTCTCCTTCTCCATAGTATATGTGCCCTCTCCTCTCCTCTAACCTAACCCTAGCTCTCTCCATCACTCCTCTCATCCTCTCCTTCTCTCATCGATAAAAAAAAAGGCGATGGCGATGGGTGCTGATGTGACCTGCTGGCTGCAGTAGCGACAACAGAGGCTGCGGTTGTGGCTGTGAATTGCAGTGGCAACAGAGGTGGCTGTGCGTGGAGGCAGTGGTTGCTAGGTTGCACCAATCCCTCCCCATTGTTCTCCCCTAAGTATGAACTATTTATCTTGTGATGAAATATAATGTCAAGTGTCTTGACTCTTTGAACTGTTGAATTTCTAAGCACATAATGATTTAATTTATTTCATAAATAAATCATGACATTGCAGATATAAACTAGCATAAATGCATCATCTACACATGTATACTAGACAGTAAAGTGTGAACAGATCAAATATACGCAACATGCTGAACACACACCGAGGGTACCGGAAGACCAATTGTTTAGCAGGAAGTACTCGCGGTTGCGGGCATTGACGACGGCGCGTAGCACGTGAGCGAAGAGAAAGATGAGATGTTGTGGTCGAACAAGGAGCAGTTGCACGAAGCGCTTCCCAAAAACCTTATTGCCGCCTTCTCCGGTGCAGGACGTCGAAGGCATAGGTTTTGGAGACCTGCTCTCCTGATCGCCGGTGCATGCTGACGAGCGGGATGGAGTAGACTACGAGCGATGGCGCAGTACAGAGGAGGAGGCAAACCCTAGATTGATCTCGCTCACCGGTGCACACTGACGAGCGGGATTTAGTAGACTACGAGCGATGGCGCAGTACAGAGGAGGAGGCAAACCCTATATTGATTTCGCATGTGTTGCATAGAGGGGGCGGCTTAGCTTATGTAGAGATATCAGGACGCCTGCACGATCGCTGCTCCGCGTAATAGAACCGGATAGGTCGCGCGTAACTTACCCGGACTCCACGCAGTTTTGCGCACCGGATCTTTCGCCGCTCCGCGTAACTGAACAGGATAAGTCACGCGTAACTTATCCGGACTCCATGCCGTTTTACACACCGGATTTTTCACTGCATTTGTGCAATGGTGAAGAACCATTTTTGGCGAACCATTTGACGCGTACGTCATGCATGCCATGCCAGGCGAACCATTTGACGCACGCATTTGACGTGTATGTCATGCATGCCATGCCAGGCGAACCATTTGACGCGTACGTCGTGCATGCCATGCCAGGCAAGGTGAGGCGAGCGAGCGTGCATGTGTTCCCCCTCTTCTCCCCCTAGAATAGATAATGTGGTACTCAACTCTCCATACATGCCATCCCATGAGGTGGGCTTTTGTGATTTTTCAAAGAATTAATCTTCGAATAGGCTAAGGCTATCTATTAATTCCAACATGTACTGTACAAAAATTGCAGATTTTTATGTCTATTTTCGCAAAACCGCTAGTGACTTAGACTTACCTATAGGTATAGCCAGCTATAGCTGATCGTAGCTATCGAAGAGCCTAACCACTAAAGCGCTTAGCCAGAGATTTAAATACTTGAGTTTAATTTGTAGACTAGCTATTAATAATGTTGAATAGGAGTATTTCCTATGGGAATATTGCTCGTGCGGTTGCAAATTGAACTTAAGAGCTGTTTTTGGGTAAAAAGAAAATGCCATTAATGAGCTTGAGCGATTATGAATTTTGTTTACCAAATATATATATTCGTTGGTATTGACCTTGACCATGACTGAAAGTTATTTACAAGCTTCATTCAAAGTACGAAGGACAAAACATTTCCATCTATCTTTTATTATATAGTAAAAGTCTATTAACCTCCCTCAAAACACTCTCGAGTTGCCACATGGCGCTCAAATAAATTATTAGAGAAATTCTTAAAAATTATAAAAAACAGAAAATCTACCTTGATTTCAGTTAAATTGGTGGGTCTACTATTATAAACCATTAGATTAATCTATCCGAGAAAACTAATACCCTTATTCCGTACACACAGACTTTCGCGGCGCCGTTGCCCGTCTCCTCTGCCTCACCCGCGTGCGTGTATATGTGTAATCCTCCCTCCTATTTTTTCTCTATCGAATTTGCTATATATTTGTCGACAAATTTTTCACCAAAAATTTGACAGATGTAACTACAGTACAATCGTAGTGTAATTACACTGTAACTTGCATGTAATTACACTGTAACTATAATGTAACGTGTATGTAACTTTCAAAAATCTCTCCACAACATTTATTTCGGTAAAATGGAGGTTGTGAGAACAAATCCTTTCACATATGTGTGTGATGTGATTTTTTTTCTTCCTCACAAGAACAAATTTTGTAATAGATCTAACGATTCAAAATTACGTGAAACTTATATACAAGTTACACTATAGTTACATGCAAGTTACAGTGTAATTACATAAAAGTTACAGTGTAATTACACTACGATTGTACTATAATTACATCTGTCAAATTTTTAGAAGAAAATTTGTCGACAAATGTATAAGTGGTCTCTTTCTCTATCTCTATAGTAATTAAGATCTGCAGCATTATTCTGTTAACATGAGTAATTTAAATAGTACTATACTCCCTCTATTTCGAAATGTTTGACACCGTTGACTTTTTAGCACATTTTTGACTGTTCGTCTTATTAAAAACTTTTATGAGATATGTAAAATTATATGCCTACATAAAAATATATTTAACAATGAATCAAATGATATAAAAAGAATTAATAATTACTTAAATTTTTTAAATAAGACGAACGGTCAAACATTTGATAAAAAGTCAACGGCGTCAAATATTTCGAAACGGAGGGAGTATTAGATATATCTCTCAAGACGCCTCACGGGGCCAAGGCATAGACTTCCATTGTTATATATTAGCCCAATCTGCCAGCTGCAAGAAGTGTCTTCATGCAAGCATATATGCATGCGTGGACATGCACTACGTACAAATAATTTTTAACTTTATGTTGAATCGATTTATTTTTAGTTTATTTTTTAATATCCTGATATTTCAATCAATTATTTAAGGTGTGAATGGACTATGATTATTGTCAAATGGAAAAAAAAAGTGCGAGCCATGTACCTTCACGCTTTACATTTTACTAGTTAGTTCCTCCGGTTTTTCATAGATTGACGCTATTAATTTTTTAGGTATAAATTTGATCATTTATTTTATTCAAATATTTTTTTTGAAAATATAAAAAATGTAGGTTATGTGAAAAGTACCATTAACGATAAACCAACTTACAACAAAATAAATGATAGTCACGTAACTTATTAAATGAGGCGAATGGTTAAATATATTAGTAAAAGTTAACAACAGCATATATTAAAAACTAGAAGGAATAAAATTCTTAAAAAAATAAATAATATGCAATTAGGTGAAAAGCCCATAACACAGCATAATAATCACCGGGTCTTAATTGCTAGCAAGGCTTCTTTGTAAAAACTAAATTAACTTATTGGAACCACATGAGAAACCCTACTCTTGATAATTAGCTGTCAGTTGTAAAAAGTAAACAAAAATCGAAGATACTAATTAAATTTGAATTCTTACTGTCGTATTTGAAATTAAATACATTGCAAAAGAAACAAACAAATATACGCAAACGAAATAAATTAGTTCCAACCAATTACTTGGATGATTTGTTGGCTTATATACCAAAATTCCTAGGTTGAGATCATAAACTATTTGGTAAATTGGTCAGATTCAACAAACTTCAAACATTTTAGGACAAAATTTGACTTCTCAGGTTTTTGTGATGGAGTATAAGTCTATCTTTAATTAGATGACGTAGTCATATTAGCAATATGTTTAATAAACAAATACCTTCAATTAATTTATCCTAAAATCCAAAAAACATCTACAGTATAAAAAACTTCGTAGAAATCAATTCCATGGTTGCGATTACGACACCATATTTTCTCATAAATAAATTCAAGACTTCACGATTTCACATGATTTTAGTTTACAATTTATATGATGCAAGGGTAATTAGAAAAAAATCATTTCCAACGTAATCCCAAATAAATTAGAATATAGTAAAAAATATATTTCAATAAAAAAAATCACTCACACATATACATTTGTAATAAAATTTTGAGTGGTAATCCGATGCTCTCTACTGATACTATTATATTACCAATAGAAATGATCTGATCCATTTGTTATTTACTAATACATTGATTAAGGGTAACTTTTCATTTATATATTTTTTCGGGCATTGATCAATCTGTGGTTATTTATTGCGCTGGCATCGCTCATATTCCATCGAAATAAGCCAAACAAGAATAAAAATAGGTTTAGTGACTACTAAATGATAATTATACCCCTTTCGCACTTTTTTTACAGTAATGTCCCTCCATGTTTGAACTACTGCTATTTAGGGTGATGTAAACCATTCGATCAAATGAGATCAACGGATTAGATTACTTTCTACTATCAATAGAGAGAATCGTAGTGGGTCTCAAATTTTAAACGTGTTAAACAAGATGCCCGCGCATGCGCGCGGGCTACCTTCCTTATTTTATTAATAGTTCCAAGATTTTGTTAATAATTCCAAGAATAAAAATAGTTATTACAAAATTATATGTAGCATCCATTACTTTCAATGTTTAATTCAATATTTTAAACTTTGATTGCGAGTATTTAGTTGTATTGTTTTTGTGAGCCTCAATTATGCTTCACGATTTGATAATTCCCAAATATGCAATTAATATATACCGATTTAACTCGGTTTGAAGTTTCAGTTATAGTTTCTGATGATTGAACGATTTCAAAATTCACATTCTTCGTTTTTAATTTATATGGACTCTCGATATGGCATAATTTATTTAACATGAATTCTCAAGACGATTTATGGTCATGACAATATACTATCCTCATAGTGCTAAAATAGCACAGATATAGACAAATATCAAATATATAAGTCTAAACCAACCTACATTTCCGACAAAAGAACTTTTCCTTCTCTATTAATTTAATATCAATCCATTGGATCTCCTTTTATGTATCATCTCAAAAGACATAAACAAAACCAAAATTTAAAAAACAAGGAAATAATCTTCCATCTAAAACTCAATCCTGGAACCTAATCTCCAACTCATCCTCCTCAACCATGAGGAAATGCGATCCTCTGTCGATCACCTTCTCGCCGTCCACCCTCGCCCTGCTCAGGTGCTCGCATGGGCTGATCTCCATCTTCAACTTCTTCTTCTCCCCTACCTTGAGATGCTGGTTCCTGAACCCGATCAGCTGCCTCACCGGCCGGCCGCCATCCGTGCTCGACCACCGGACGAACATCAGCACGGTGTGCTTGCCATCCATGGGGCCATGGTTCTGCACCTCCACCATGACCGGGAACCTGAGCCGCTCGCACCGGTCGTCGCCGATCTCGTCGACGCGGTAGACGGCGTCGCCTTCTGGTGTGGTTGCTGCCCTAAGGCCAGCGAGCGCCGCCTTGCCGTAGGATGACGAGTTGCCGGCGCCGGAGACGATGCGGCAAGCGAACTTGGAGTAGCTGAGGCCGTACCCGAACTTGTAGACGGTCTTGCCCTTGTAGAATCGGTAGCTCCGGCCGGGGTAGCCGGTGGCCGGGTCGGGGCGCATCCGCATGTCGGTCATGGTGAACTTGGTGAACTCCTCCGGGTACCATGTCACCGGCAGCTTGCCGCTGGGGTTGAACTCGCCGAAGAGCACGTCGGCGATGGCCTGACCGCCGGCCTGGCCGGGGTACCCCGCCCACAGGATGGCGCCGATCTTGGGGTTGGTCTGCGCGAACGTGATGTCCACCGGGCCGCCGGTGAGGAGGATGAGGATGACCGGGCGCTTCGACGCGGTGGCGACGGCGGTGATGAGGGCCTGCTGCTTGCCGGGGAGCAGCAGGCTCGTCCTGTCGAGGCCTTCCTGCTCCTGCTTCTGGCTGAGCCCCATGACGAGGAAGACGTAGTCGGAGGACTTGGCCAGCGCGGTGGCCTGGTCGGTGGCGGCGACGTCGCAGGCGGCGGAGCTGCAGCCGGGGAGGAACTTGGCGCTCTTGACGTACTTCTGGATGCCTCCGAACGGCGTGGTGGTCTCGCAGGGGAGGCCGTAGTAGTTGCCGAGGAGGGCGAGGATGTCGTTGGCGTTGTGGCCGATGACGGCAGCGGAGGCGACGGTGGGGGCGCGGAGCGGGAGGAGGCGGGCGTCGTTCTTGAGCAGGACGACGCCGCGCCTGGCGGCCTCGAGGGCGAGGGCCTTGTGCACCGGCGTGCAGACGTCGGCGGCGCTGAGGCGGCCGTACAGCTTGTTGCCCCTTGGGTCGCCGTCGAAGTGGCCCAGCCGCATCCGGATGGCGAAGAGGTTCTTGAGGGCCTTGTCCACGTCCTTCTCCGTCATCTTCCCCTGCTGCAGCGCCGACGCCGCGTTCTGCTGCATGTACACGCCGCAGTTTATGTCCAACCCTGAAAATATTCACCAATAATTCATTCTGTTTCCAAAATTCAAATATTCAAATCTTGCTTAAAGAGATGCACTTGATAGTTCGGTGGGAAGGAGTGCGTGGTTTCAACTCAGAGAATCCTGTGTTCAATTTCCAACACGTTTATAATTTATTCTTTAAAAATTATTTGGAGGGACATATCTCCCTCCAAATCATGTTTTTTTAAATCTTGTTTAAAGTACTTGTAATGATTTGCTACTTACCGGCCTTGAGGGCGACGGCCACGGCTTCCTCCGCCGTCCTCGTGAAGTGTTCCGATTTGTGAAGGATGGCGACCGCGTCGCAGTCCGACGCCGTGTAACTGGCAAGTACATATGTCACGTTGATTTTAGCTATTCGTCACATGATTATTTCAGCCACTGATCTGAGCGATGAAATGAAATGAGGTCGAGCTCGATCGATCACTCACCCATCTAACTTCCATTCTCCCCTGACGGTCTTGGTGAGGAGGTCAGAACTAGCACACGCCGGGACGCCATTGATGAGGGTGTAGGCACACATGATGCAGCTCGCCTTCCCATCCACCACACAGCTCCTAAACGGCGGGTTGTACGTGTCCGCTAGATCTTGCGGTGTCACCTGCACAACTCATCGCACCCGACATATGTCATACTCACTAGTCACTACTTCTCATACATAACGAAAAATTAGGGGCATGTAAGAAATTTTCTTTCTCGATCTATTTTTTTGTCTTTTTTCACCGTGCAGTCATCGCTCACCTTTGCATTGAAGTTGTAGCGTGAGACGCCCTTCCACTCCTCGATGTCGTAGGCGGTGATGTGCTTGCAGCACGCGGAGGTCTGGAGGTTTGTCAACGAGCTCCCCTGCAGGCCCTTGACGAAGGCGGCGCCGTACTTGCTCGCCGTGGCGGGGTCCTCGCCGGGGGTCTCCTGGCCACGGCCCCACCGTGGGTCCCTAAAGATGTTCACGTTGGGGGACCACATGGCCAGACCCTCTGCTTGCCCCAGGTTGTAGAACGCCCGACCCTCTTTGCCGATCGCCTGTGTTATGATTTATAAACAAAGTTCAGTGACTCACATACATCACATACATACATACATACATACATACATACGTGTGTGTGTGTGTGTGTGTATATATATATATATATATATATATATATATATATATATATAATCCACGTGGATTTGACATGGTAGGCACATATTTAATGTGATCAGACAGAACAAACCAAGCAGGATGTCAATAAACTGACAGAGAATGAATATATGCAGAACGTGATTGGTTGTACAATGTGTGCATAACCATCCAGGTCATATAAATTTATACAGTTCTGTTTCATGCATAGGAAAAAATATACAAGATCAAGAATATAAAGTTTAAAATTATATCATTTTAGCTTATTTTTCACACATAAAACGCTGATTTCAAAATAAGCTAATTTCGGCATGGAAAATGTGACAAAGTAAAACTTGCTATTTATTTTGAACTAAAAAAAGAACTGCAAAAATGCCAATACGATGTATTAATTAATTCCATGATAGATCACTACTCCCTCCGTTTCACAATGTAAGTCATTCTAGCATTTCCCATATCCATATTTATGTTAATAAAACTAGACATATTTATTTATCTAAATTTATTAACATCAATATAAATATGCGAAATGCTAGAATGACTTACACTGTGAAACGGATGAAGTAACTAATAGTAACCACGTGCAAAAGAGAAAAAAAAATACTGAAGCAGAGTATTGTGATTTGTATCTTGTACAACATGAAATGGAAGTTAAACAGATTCATTAAGTGTTCCCTTCATTTATTTTCCCTCTCAGATTTGCAAAAAAGAAAAATCTTTTCAAATATAAAAAACATGGATCAGATATGTACACAATCGTAAATGGCGGCGGCGATCGATCAGCGCGCCACCGCAAGAACACATGTGTATATACGCGTACCTGGCCGATGCGGAACCAGAGGCCGTCGTCGAAGGCGGCGGCGGTGTGGATGACCTGCGGGAAGCTGGTGGCGGTGCGCGCGGGGCCGTTGCCGAAGTGGATGCCCTTCCCGGAGATGGCCAGCCCGTGCAGCGCCTCCGACCACCACTTGTACACCGGGATCCCCAGCCTCGGCACCCCGGGCGCCTGGTCCCCGAGCTGCCCCACCTTCTCCGCCGTCGTCAGCCTCGCCACCAGGTCCGCCGCCCGCTGCTCCGCCGGCAGCGCCGCGTTGCAGAACGCGAACCCCTTCTGCGCCGACGCCGGCCCGCACGTGAACCCCGGGTTGCCGCCCCACGCCACCCCGCCCAGCATCGCCAGCGCCGCCACCGCCGTCACCACCGCCGCAAGCACGCCGCCGCCGCGCCTGGAGGTGGAGACCGCCATTGGCAAGGTACGTAGAAGGCGAGAGGAGGTCGATGCGATGCGAGTGAGCTGAGTGAGTGAAGCGCCAGCCTCATATAGGCCACTGCGGCCAATGGGAGAGAGCCACGTGTCACCCCACGAAGACAAGTTCCTCCTCCGATCTGAAGACATTTTCTCCGCACATAGAGCGGACCTGAGTGCGAACGACAGGAGAGATCCAACGCTGACGTGGACGCCATGCATGTCTCAGTAGAACTTGTCAGTGAAACCATGCATGGAAGATTAAGATTTGGTATGCACGGCCAAATTCCTCGAGTTCCACGATGTCCTCTCGACCAAACATGTATGTTTAGGGCTGGATCCATAAAATTCCTTGCATCTTCAATTCACTACATCAGGTGAGTTTGTTTAGTGCTGGATCCTAAATTTGATCGAATGAGGTTAAAGAACATGTCGACCATAAAAACCAACACAGCTATGCTGAATTTGCATTTCTAGTTAATTACAACAAACAGTAAATCTAAGCATGCATATTCTATATGATATAAATTAAATGCACCTAGATATTAGATGTTCAAGAATATTCATTACCAATGCAAAACATGTTGCCGTGGCGCTTGCACGAGTTTATATGTTATTTAATTTACTTGTGGACGAAGCAAAACCTAAGTTTTTTTTTAATCTTGATAGATATAACGCGGGACACAGAATCCACTCGGCAAACAATAGTATAACATCACTGAACCTTTATGACAAAACAAGAACAATGGGGAAAAAGTACTTTTTTTTCAAACGGTCAGGCCGTTGCCGACGTTTTATATAAAGAAGAAGGTGTCCCATTTTGAGGAGAAAACGGGACCAAAACCTTACAATGCACAGTTAATTAGGGGAAACTGCGCGAAAACCACAACCACAACACTCTAACTAACCTAAGCTAACAAGACCGTAAGAAATGGCGAAGCCCAAAACAGCCATCGATAAAAAGCTTGTTGTAAGCAACACAAAGGCTTCGACTTCGCGAGGCGAGTGTTATCGTTGCCGAGCTTGTCGCCTAGCGACACAGTAGCTTCGACTCCACAACTATCACATCATCGTTGCCAAAGGCATCACAGAAACAAGTAAGACACCGACTGTCCACTTTGAGCATCAGCCCAAGCCGTCAGAGCTCCATATCTTGTACGCAGCAAACACCAACACCCCTCGAAGACTACAACGTGTTATCGTTGCCAAGCTTCATCGCACCACAACAAAGTAGCTTCGACTTCACCTAGAAGAAAACGAAGGAAGTTGGACGCTCACCACATCCAAGAACAGAACCCAAGATGCAAAGGCCTCGCCGAATAGCTAGGCTTACAGAGCTTCGACACAGGGGTCCATAAACGACCATCATTGCACCGGAAAGGTTCTAGAAAGCGAGGGAAGACGCCATAACGACGCCTCCAGAAAGGGGAACGACGCCTAATGGCGCCGCCGTCGTCAAGCCAACCAAAGGCCAGCCAAGACTTTCGCCGGCGTCAACCAAAGCCACACAACCCACCCGCACAACGTACGTCGCCAGACCGCCACATCGTCCCTCTAGTCGCCAAGCCTAGCCCACCACCCATAGTTCAGGCAGGCTCACGAGTCCGCCATGCCGCCGTGCCGCCCCATCCTCTACTGCATCGGTTGACCAAGCATGAGACGTCGTCGTGGACACCCGCAGCGCTACCGACCCAGTCAGCCAACCACTGCCATCGCCACGAGCGCCCGCACTCCGCTACACCGCTGCCACAAGCACTCACAGCTTTGCTGCGCCGCCATCACCGTCTCCACGCCGACGAGGCATGCACCCGATCCCCCCGCCTCCGTCGCACGTCCGGCTTCCTCCTCCGTCGCCGGCCTCCTATAGCCGCCCCAGCGCTGGCGAGGGCGCACCGGCCGGCCAGCCCCCACCTTACCTTGGTCGCTCGCCGTCGTCGCTTCCGACCGAGGGAGCGCCGGATCTGGCCAAGGGGCACCGGATCCGGCCGCCCCCAACACTGGACCGAGGGTCGCTGCCGCCTCGCGTCTCCCGGCCCCTCCAAGACCCTCGCCGCCACGGATCCGAGCTCGGCAACACCGGAGCTCGCCGGCAGGCCCAGATCCGGCGGCGCCCGGCGCAACCTCGGCGCCAGCTTCCTCCTACCCCGCCTCCACCTCTTCCCGTGCGCGTGCCTCGACGCCAGTGTTGCTTCGGCCGGCTCCACCTTTGGTCCGCCGCGCCGGATCCAGGGGTGACCACCGCCGTAAGCCCCGCCGCCGCCATCCTCGCGAGCCGCCGGCTTTGCCGCTACTCGCTTAGGCGTTGGCGAGGCAGAGAAGATAGGTGGAGAGGGGCGGCGGCGGCGGCTGTTAGGCTTTCGCCGCCCGAGTCACCGACGCGGGGGCAACGCGGGAAAAAAGGATCAGGGCGTCAGCATTTTGATTGGGGAAAAAAGTACTAGTAGCTGCACTCATGAGTAATGGCTGCAAAACGCATCCGGGGCTTTGTTTAACGTGACAAGTAAACTTTCTTTCAGGTCGTGAAAAACTGTGATCGATTCGCTCCTGCAGAAACACACAAAATGAACGGCACTAGTATAGATCAGTAACGGGTGAATAGCTAATATGGTCCCTGAAGTTTCTCTTTGGGCTCAGTTTAGTCCTTGAAGTTTTAAATCGTCCAAACAAGTCCTCTAAATTAATCATTTGGGTTAATATAGTCTTTGGACCCACAAAAAGTGCCACGTGAGCATGCCAAATCATCCTCACATGCAACGGTCTGAATGAAATGACCATTCTACCCTTTTATACCACATAGAAAAGAAAGAAAAAAAGAACATAAATGTTTTCACACGTGTATGATCGTTTTAGAACTGTCACTTACGATTGCCGCTGCAATGTTATTTTTTTCTGTTTGTGTCTTTTCTTTCTTTTCTATATGGTATATAAGGGTATAGTCGTCATTTCATTCATACCGCTACATGCGAGGATGACTTGGCATGCTCACGTGGCACTTTTTTGAGTCCAAGGACTATATTAACCCAAATGATTAATTTGGAGGACTTGTTTGGACGATTTGAAACATCAAGGACTAAACTGAGCCCGAAGCGAAACTTCAGGGACCATATTGGCTATTCACCCATCAGTAATTAAGAAAAACCAACACTTACCTTTTCCAACCAGAAACGCACAACTGCAGGACACCATACGGTAAATTAAAACCGATACCTTCATGAACCGACACCTATAACTCCTTGCAGAGAAAAGTGTTGTTCCCTATTAAAACCAACTGAGAATGTTGTCCCATGGGAGCAGTTGTTAGTAGGGTCGGGATAAAAGTGACCAATTTTCTTTAAAAAAAATCACAACTTTTAGGTGAGGAGCGGAACCAACCCAGTCATCCTTATCCTTTTCTCTGCCTCTCTTGCTCCCGTGCCCTCCCCCCTCCTCATTCTCCCTCTCAAGCCCCTCATTCTCTCACCCCTCTCTCTGTAACTACCGCCGCACCTCCTCTTCCTCCTCCTCCCCTTAACCCTCCATGCTGCAAGATGACGGCGATGGCGGCGTGGCCAGATCCGGCTCCGCCCCTTAACCTTCCTCTCGCCCCTTCATATCATCCATTGGAGCTCGGGGGTGGCCAGATCCGGCTCCGCCCCTCCCCACCAGCACATGGGAACGGCCAAATCCGGTGCTCGGCAAGCGGTCGGATCCAGCGTGGCCCCTCCTCCTCTCTGTCCCTTCCCATTGGTGCTCGGGGGTAGCCGGATTCGGTGCCCCCCACCACCCACCCACCAAGCGAGGTGCAGATGGACTTTATATCTTTTTTCTGATCTGTTCATCTTGTTCTTTACCTTTTATGCATATAAATAATTCGTGTAATTGGAGTGATGGAATTCTTCATTTGTACCAAAAAAATGTGATTTAGTTTCTTCAATTTGTGCTGTGGATGGATGTGGGATGGATGGATGGTAATTCGAGCCGATGCATTGAGCATACCTTTTCTTTCATTTTAGGAACCACTAAGGTATAGTTCTTAAACCAGCATCTTTAAGTCCACCTCAAAAATTGCCGCCTGTGAGGTGCAGGTTCGTAATTAGTTTATATTGAGCAAAAAACGGTCGGATCCATTAAAGTTCCCTCCTTTCCCCCGCCGACCCACTCCCCCTCCTCTTCCCGCACGCCAGCTGGGCTGGCCCGAGGCCGAGGCCCAGCCAGCCGCCGCGCCACCCCCTCCCCTCTCCGGGTCACCGACAGGTGGGGCGGGGCCCACCTGTCGGGCCCATCTCCCACCTCCGGCCAGCGCCGCCGCGCCCGAAACCGCCGCTCCCGCCCTCTCCGCGCGCACCTGCGCATACGTCGCCCATGCTCCCGCGCCACCTCCCACACACCCCGCAACCGCCGCTCCCAACCCTTACAGTTCGAGTATGCGTCCGATGGTGGTTTCTTCGAGGAGTAGGCTTCATCCGTGTCGTCGAGGATGCCTGTGAAGTGGTGTTCCTGCTGCAATCCAAGTCAAGGCTTAGCTCTAGTTATCTTTAATTTTCCGCTGCATTTATGATGTTAACTTTGTAAGACGTGGATGTTTATGTCAACTTTGTCGTTTGCGTACCCTGGCCAGTCCTGGACAGGGGTTTTAATGCACGTTCTGCATGGAATTCTATTCGAGAATTTTTGGGCGTGACAGTTATGGCTACCAACCGTCTCAAGCAACATACAGACGGTCGAATGTAACGGACAGCTCACAGTGAAATTCAACTATAACATAACTTTTTTAGGCCAATCCTTCACCCAGTCCAGCAGTTTCCGACTGTTCATTTGAAAACTGAATGTAATTATTTATAAAATATTCAAGATGATATTAGGGTATACACAAGATTGCGTTAAAGAGATAGGAGATGCTCACTACTGGAGAATGCCTCTTTTCTCCCGGTTCGCAACCCCCTGTAATCCCGGATTGCAAACCGGGAGAAGGAATCTGGGACTAGAGATGATGATGATGATGATCTTTAGTCCCGGTTTAAATACCCGGGAGTAATGATGCATCTCTACTCCCGGTTGGTGTTACCAACCGGGAGTAGAGACATTTTATTTTATTTGCTTGTAGATTATTGTTTTTAGCTATTTGCACTTGTTTTCCGGCTGAACTCATACACGGATCATCTCCCGACATCCCAAATCATCCACAATCCCAAATCATTCACGACAACAAAATCATCATCCATTATCTCAAACCATCCACAACAACAACTACAAGAATCTATTTAATCTGTGACGAAAAAATTCGTCATGGATCACTTAAAATTCGTCACAGAAATTTGTCTGTGACGATTCTACTTATCGTCATCTATTGAGCGTCACAGATTAAATCTGCCGATGTTTTCTCCGAAATCGTCATGGATCAGCACAATCTATGACGTTTTTTAACCGTCATGAAATGCTTTTGGGCTCGTGTAGTCCAGCCCAGGCCCAACCTTTGTGACAAAATTAAACGTCACATATGGTTGCCACGTGGTGGCCAACATGGCAGGTGACGTGGTTGTTGACACGTGTGTGATGACGTGGTTGACACGTGTGATGACGTGGCAACCAACTGTTTTGATGGCCCATTAATTATTTAACAGCGGCCCATCATTTTTTTTAGAACTAGTCCATTTTAAAATAGGCCTATTTTAAAATTGGCCCATTTTGTTAACCAATTATCAGATCAAAGCCTACTAAACAGTCCCATTAAATTTGAGCCCACCAAATTCAATCCAATTTCTCATACCATCTCAGATTCAAACATAATAACAGATACTATCTCAGATTCAACTAATAACAGATACAATCAGAATACAACAGAATTCAAACAATAGTTCATCTCAGATTCAACCTAATAACGAAATCTGAAAACAGAAAACCAAAACAAATCTTTCAAACATTCAATGGAGTCACTCCATGCTTCTCATCCTCCACCCATAGCAAGTAGAGGATTGAATTACAGCAAGGCTTTCTTGTTGATGTGCAAATGGAATTTTTTGCTACAACTTATACATAGCTTCTTGAGATGTGCTGCAAAAATACAATTTTATTGTCAATACCGGGAGTCAACAATATTAAGTCACTAAACTACTCAACAATATTAGTCCTCCCTCCTAATTTTCTTTTTCTAAATGTGAGGGAAAAGCAAAAAGGTACCAGCCAAAACCAAAGTAATGATTTATCCATACTAAAAGAACACAACTGATAGGTAAACAATCTAAACTGTTCACGTAGTAATTTTCTCATAATCAGGAAAGTAAACCAAATAATTTATCCAACATGATGTTTATTCAGCAAAAAATTTTGGAATGGACAGGACTGTGAACGTCAATATGTCAAGTTAAACTATTGGTTGTGCATCTTTTAAGTATAGATTATAGGTATGCGATCTTAGTACTTCAATCATTGCAAGCACAATATTTTTGTGAGCAGATACAATATGTTTGAAGGAATATGGTGAGTGCAACATAGTCAAATACATAACTTGGTTATAATGGGATTTCAACAAAGAGGGCAACACTCAATGTCTTAAACTGAAGCTTTATGGTAGCATGGGAAGTTGGTTACCTGTTGTTAACGAACTGAAATGAAGATAAGCAGAAACAAACCAAGTTTCCACTAATTTTTGCACCTATAAAAAAGAAAATTAATCATCAAAGATCAAACCATACGAGTTTGATTTCTTATCACTTAAGTTAGAGAAAGACCTAATCCTTGTACTCCTAGCAGCCATTAATATCTTACAGGCAAAAGGAATTCCAAACAGACAATGCACAGGATTCCTAGGGCAGGAATTCCAAGTGTAAAATGAACTAGGACTTTTGGCGCGCTTCGCTGCGCCCCTCTGTTCATTTAGGGCTATGCAGTTAAGGGACAAATATACACTAACATGGTAGATTACTTTGAGGAAAGCAAATAATAGGAGCATAATAATAGATGAAAAGAAGGAATTTCAAGGAATAGCCAATATAAGGGACAATGTTGAGTACAACAGGAGTAAGATTTCCTACCGTACAACTTGAAACTTGGAAAATTTTTTGAAAATATACAATTTTTTTACTGAAATTGTAAGAATATACTGATTAGGGAAAGATTTGCGGAAATATACCGCCGTCGCACTTTGGTTAAGCGAGAGCGCGATATCACATAATGTATTAGTGAAGGTGCCAGCGTTATCGTTAATTGAAACCGCGGGAGCGCTAATGCATCGGTCTCGCATTCCAAAAACGCTCGTAGAGCGATTTCGCGGCCGTCTGACGCGAACCCAGACCGGCGGGGCCCCAAGCAGTCTCGCGCTTTGACAGCGTGAGAGCGTGTCCCACCTGCTAATTGAATGCATGAGCCATGCATGCACGTACTGGCATATGTCCATCTATATGTGTGTTCAGCCATATATACATGCATGCTTGGCTAATGTATATACGTATACATGCATGAGCCAACAAGAAGCTAGATGATCTATTTGACGGCTATATATATGTGTATGCATATTCGTATATACGGCATGTTCACTTGTGGCCTGCATGGACACGATTCAGCGGCCGTATTCACTAAGGCTATGCACGTATTCGCTGGTATAGCCGGTATTGATTTTTGATTGAGCGATAGCAAAGCGCTCTCTCGCTTTGCCAGAGCGATACCGCCGTCGGTCTCGCGCATTGGGACAGCGATACCAATATCGGTCTCGCACTTTGCGCGTGCGAGACCAACGGCCCACTCGCGCCCAGTCGTTTCGCCAATGTGGGTCCCGCGACATGCTCGGTCTCGCGTGTTGGGATTACAAGACCGATTTCGCTCTCACGCTTGCACACCGTGATACCGGCGTGACAACGGATCAATTCCTTCACGTGGCGCTCTCGCTCTACGAAAGAGCGATATCATGACAGTCTCGTTGTTTCCACAAGCGACACCGCCAGCTCAAATGCACCCTCGCGAGTTGATAGTGCGATAGCGTGGCGGTATCGTATTTTGTTGTCGCGAACCTCGGTATCGCTCTTCCAAGCCGCGATACCGATACTATATTTGTGCAAATCATTCTCCATCCGGTATATTTTAGCAAAACAAATCTATAAACAGTATATTTTCAATTTTTTTCTTGAAACTTGCAGGTAGATAAGAACATCCCAGCTAACTAATTTGTGCAGCAAAGCTCTATTATCAGTCTGTTTGTGCAGCAAAGCTCTATTGTGCAACTAATTAGCAGTGACACCCTTAATATACTTAAGCTAAATGGCAATTCTCACATATACAAAGATTGTTATAAAATGAGATGGCAATGCAACTGCTTAGGACTGAGAAAGCACAAGCTCAAGGCTGATTGATAGCCAAGCATGCACTTACAGTCTTCACAAGCCTGAGCACCTTCTGTGGTAGCAACCAATCATTTTTATACAGATATGACAAAAATAATTATCAGATTCAATATTCACATTTACAATTAGATTGCACTTATTTCTCTCTAAAAACATATTCTACATATAATTTCAAACTACCATCTAGAGTAGAAGGTAAACTGGAAAAGAACATAGATATTAGCAATATTTATCCTTCTTGTACATAGAAACACAACTGTAATGTACATTCAAATCTAGTAATCTGCTTTTTAATTAGCTAATGACGATGGCTCGGCGCCTTACCGTTTGTTTTAGACATTGTAAAACTAGAACTTATATGAGTAGAACGTGAAAGCATCTAGAGCAGACTAAACTTGATAGGAACCAATGTGTTTCTTGTGGTGTTTCAAGGTTGTCAGTGAGAAAAAGTTCTTATCAAGAACATGTAAACAGATAAAAGGCAAACATATTTTTGGCACATTGTGCGGCACACTAATGGCATTACAGAGGGCACCTGATCATATCTATAACGAAGCACAAAGGGTCAAATGATCACCACAAAGCCATTAACCGAATTAATTGGCTTCCCTAAAACATCTCTACTAAACTAATTATTTCGGCATTAGGTAGCAGAAAGGTAAATTGATCAGCTAAGATATTCTTCAAAATATCTGGCAAGTATGAAACCCTTTTATCATTTATGGGTTTTGCAAAAAAAAAGGCGTTCTATTGGTCAATCAGGATATATAAATCTTCAAGGAAAAAAAATACATACTTCATAGATAATGTCAGAGAAGGAAGAATGGCAATGGGCAGCTGCACATGTGAACCATAGAACATTCGTAAACAAAATTCATGCAACGATACCAACACTGAAATGTTTGCAGTTCGACCAAAAAAATACAACCATTATAGCTAGTTTTATCACCATGTAAAGGGAAAATCTGGAGGGCTTGACCAAATCTGGCGCTATGTTCTGCTTTGAGCCATCGTCAGGCCACCACACGCGCAGCACGGCGGCACCGCTGGGCGCTGGTTTGCCACGCCATGAAGAGCGAGAGAAAAGAGCACGAGGTGGGGGATTAGGGTAAGAGGCCACTGAACCCATCCACATCGAGATGCAGAAGGGGCGCCAGCCCACTGGAGCTGGAGAAGAATTGCACCGGCTGAAGAGAACACAAAGCAAAAAGAACCAAATATGAATTACAGAGACAAAGAACTACTAAACAACGGAGAATTCATCACAGCAATAGCCCATGGCAATGCAACATCACTGGATCCAGACCTTCATGGCAAGCTTGAGCTCATGTACCCACCGCCTGCAGCCACAGCAGGTGCTCGAACAGCAGCGCGTCCATGGCGACCGCCACCGCACCGCCGCGGGCCCGCTGCCCAGCCACCGCGAGGAAGCGCCGCACCGACCCGGTCTCAAGCACGGCCGAATCGACATGGAATAAGCTCCTATCCCCCTTCGTCGTCCCAACCTCCACCCAAATCACATCCGTTGTCGTGGACACGGAGGCGGAGGAGCCGAGGCGCCGGTACCCGCCCCGGGGGGTGGGGGGATGAATAGGGCGGCGAGGCGGCGACGAAGGGGCTGCATCTGGCCACCTCCTCGTCGTCGGCGGTGAGGAGGAGATGGCGATGGCGCCGCCACCCACTCTTCCCCCAAGGTCAACGAGGTCGCCGCCCACTCTTCCCCCGAGGCCGCTACCGGATCCGGGCGGGACGAGGCCCGCCGTCGCCGGATCCGAGCAGGACAAGGCCTGCCGCCTCCGGATCCGAGTGAGACGAGGCCCGCCACCGCCCACTCTTCGCCGAGGTCGTCGCCCCCGCCGCCGTTAGCTCCAGGCAGAGCCGCCCCAGCCACCGCCAGCTCCAGGCCAGAGCCCGAGGCGGCCGAGAGCCCCCCTTGACGCCGCCAGCTCCTGCCACCGCCGCCCGAGGAGGAGTGGAGAGCAAGAGAGGAGAGAAAGAGAGAGTGAGGGGAGATGATAGAAAGAGAGAGTGAGTGAGAAGGGGAGATGAAAAAATTTGAAGGGAAGAGAAGGGAAAAACAATTAATTTTAAAATATTAAAACTTCGAATCAAAAATTTATGGTATTAAATGAACTCATATGAAAAATTTTTGTAGAACTCGTTGAGATCTACCAATTTTCTTTTAAACATTTCTCCATACGAGTTTGATTGAACTATGAAAAATTTGAATTTTAAAATATAAGAAATTCAAATAATATTTTGAAGCAATATATGATTTCAAATGAAAAAGTCATCAATAACAAAGTTGTATAACTCATCAAGATCTACAACTTTAGTATTGGTCATTTTTTCTATATGACTTTGTTTGAATAGTTTAAATTTGAATTTCAAATTATGACAACTTCAAACAACATTTTTAAATACTAAATGATTTCAACTGAAAAAGTTATCAACAACAAAATTATATAAATCATCAATATCTACAATTTTTGTTTTTATCATTTTGCTATATGACTCTGTTTCAATAATTTGAATTTGAATTTCAAATTATGACAAGTTCAAACAACATTTCCAAATACTAAATGACTTCAACTGAAAAAGTCATCAACAACAAAGTTATATAAATCATCAATATCTACAACTTTTGTTTTGGTCATTTTGCTATATGACTCGGTTTCAATAATTTGAATTTGAATTTCAAATTATAACAACTTCAAACAGCATTTTCAAATATTAAAAGATTTCAACTGAAAAAGTCATCAACAACAAAGCTATATAAATCATCAATATTTACAACTTTTGTTTGGGTCATTTTGCTATATGACTCTGTTTCAATAATTTGAATTTGAATTTCAAATTATAACAACTTCAAACAACATTTTTAAATACTAAATGATTTCAACTGAAAAAGTCATCAACAACAAAGTTGTATAAATCATCATTATCTACAACTTTTGTTTTGGTTATTTTGGTATATGACTCTGTTTCAATAATTTGAATTTGAATTTCAAATTATGACAAGAGCAAACAATATTTTCAAATACTAAATGATTTTAACTGAAGAAGTCATCAACATTAAAGTTCTACAACTCATCAATATCTATAACTTTTATTTTGGTCATTTCTTCATCCGATAAAGTGATAGTAACATTATTCACAAAATTTATATATCTTATAATGGTTAAAAATAATGGATACAACAATTTAATTGGATTTTTTTTTAGAATTTTAGGATATGATACACAATGAGTCATGAGCGTTCTAGAGGGCGGTTATTGATTTTTGTTATGTACAATGATTTAGTTCAACATGTTACATATTTTTAATTAATTTTTTCGTTGTTATTTAATTGGCATGCAAACGATAGTGTCTACCTTCAAATGATGCATTTTTAATTTTGTATAGTAAAATATAGCTAATGTGATCTTGATTTATTTATTTAGTTATAAAATAAAACAATAGCTATGACTGTTTTTATATTATGTTAGTTAAAACAAAATAGAAGATGGGATAATTGAGCTGGAGAGGAGAGGATGGGAGAGTCAGAGAGGGAGGGCCAGAGGTATATTTAAGGCAAGAGGATACGAGGAGATTATTGTTTTTCAAGATAGATCGAATGGATCCTATAAATACAATTTATCTTACGGCTACTAGAAATACTTTGGGTATTGTATTTTCTAATTAAACTACTTAAATTTTTATAATTTAAGTGCATGTTATTAATCAGAAGATTTAAAAATCTATTTGATTTTTTCTTAAAAATTTATGGATGAGTGAACCATAGCTAGTTCGTAGAATATATATGTCCCAAATTAATGAATTTCTATAATAATATTAGCTATATGATTTTAATAATATATGTCCCAAACTTGGATCTTCAATCTTAAAATATATAATAGTAAATAATCTATTGGAGTGTACCAATAAAAAATTAGCTATATGATTTAGATAATACAGTTGTTTAAAATTTGTTATCATAAAATATTTTTTCCATCTATCTAAAAGAAGAAAATAGTAGAGAAAGGAAATAGGTGTGGAGGTATGCACGCACGTACGTACTGGACTGGCGGGGATGAGATATGCGGGCCTTTTTTTGTCATTTTCTTTTTGGTGAAATAAATATAATGACAAAATATAATTGGTAAAAAAATATTTCCACCTTTCTAATAGAGGAAAATAGGAGAGAAAAGAAATAGGTGGTATTCCTTTTTTACTTGGACAAATAATTTAATAGTAGAAAACAATGGGTCCACCGTATATTACAGAAAATCGACGGCCAAATGTTTTGTTTATTCTCAAAATTTTTGTGATTTTTCTAATTTATTAAAATGTCATGCGGCGACGTAGGAGCATTTGTAGGAGTGCTACGTGGTGTCCTGAGTACGATTGTAGGATGTTTAATGGACTACTAGTATATAATAGACGATATTACACTAGTGGAGAAGTGCTTTTTAGTCCCGGTTCGCAACCCCCCTATAGTCCCGGTTTTCAAACCGGGACTACCAATCTATCTTTAGTCCCGGTTCAAATACCCGGGACTAAACATCGATATTTAGTTTCGGTTAGTAACACCAACCGAGACTAAAGAGAGGGTTGGGGCAGTGAGATGGTCCCCTTTTTCTTTTTTTTTCTTTTTCATTTTCTCCCAAATCAAACCCCCAATCCAAAACTCAAAGTAACATCTCAAATCTACATCACAAATCAAAGTTACTTATACACACAAATTAAATACATCACAAATCCTATAAAAATTACAAACAAATCAAATACATCGCAGATCCATACAAATATGCAATGAATCACAAAATTATTCATCCAAAAGTACATCAGTGAAATCACAAATAATTAAAAAAAACAATACGGGCTGCCGCTGCCGCCGGCCGCCTGCCCGCCGCTGCTGTGCGCGGCCCACCGGCCGCCACCAGCGGCCCCGCCGGCCGCCTGCCCGCCGCCGAGGGGCGCGGCCTCACCGGCCGCCGCACGGCCGCCTCGCTCCGCCACCGCCGCACGGCCGTCACCGCCCGACCGGCTCCCGGATGGCCGCCGCCTCCCGTCCGCCGCACGGCCGCCTGTCGCGCGGCCACCTCGCTCCGCCGCCCGACCGGCTGCCGCACGGCCGCCGCCACCCATCCACCGCACGGGCGCCTGCTGTGCGGCCGGCTACCTCCGTCGCCGCCGCCCGGCCCGCAGCAGAGAGGAGAAGAATCGGAGGAGGCGGGGAGGGGAATCGGAGGAGAGGGGAAGGGGGAGGAAGGGGAGATGAAGGAGAGGAGGCTGGTATACCGAGGAATTAAACAATGGAAAAGGAGAGGGAGTCTTAAAATGAAGGAGAGAAAAAAGGGGAGGGGTACCGGGTACCGAGGAGAGGGTAGCGGCATGCGCGCGGCTCGGCAGTTCATTTTTTGTCCCGGTTTGTATAAACAACCGGGACTAAAAATAGATCTTTAGTCCCGGTTGTTTATACCAACTGGGACTAAAGATAATTGGAGCTTGACTCCACCCACCAACTTCTTTGAACCGGGACTAAAAATGATCTTTAGTACCAATTGAGACTAAAGATCAAAAATTTTTTAACTGGGACTAAAAATGATCTTTAGTCCCGGTTTTTATTGCATCCGGGACTATTGTGGAATTTGGTCGACCGACCAAAGATGGTTTCTCCACCAGTGTTAAGATGAAGCAAGCTAATGTAAAGGTATAAAATAACGGATCCATAAATTTAAATATAGTGCTACATGAGATTACACAGTGCCACGTGATGACCTAAGAGCGCTTATGGAAGCACCATGTGACTATATTTATAGAGTAATAAATTTTATTTTTTATAGTATAGAAGATCTTATTTTAAAAAGACCGTCTATTTTTTTTCCGATGGTTATAACATCGTACATATATTTTCCTTTAAGGCTTTATAGCATTTTTTTTTATCGTGCGTTCACCGTACATATGTACGCATGTTCCTTTGTATATTTCCATCCAAGTGAACAGTTTATCAATGTTTTTTTTGTCTCTATAGGTTTTTTATCGTACACACGTATGTTCTTTGTTTCTTTTTTAATAAACAGTACCTAAAGATTCATATATGTATGTACTTCCTCCGTTTCATAAGGTAAGTCTTTCTAGTATTGTCCATATTCATATAGATGTTAATAAATCTATACATATATGTGTGTCTAGATTCATTAACATCTATATAAATATGAGTAATGCTAGAAAGTCTTACATTATGAGATGGATGGAGTAATTACTTTCATACGTACACGTATGTAAGTATTTCCATCCTACGTAACTATTTTCATGTAAATAAGTATTTTTGGTAAATTGCTCGGATATAGAAAGCATAAACTTTTCAAATAGATCTAATCCGACGGTTTAAAATAATGAGTCCACCATTTTAAATGAAAATCGATGGTGGGATTGTAGAATGTCACATGGCGGCCTAGGAGCGCTTGTAGAAGTGCCACGTGATGGCTTTGGAGCATTTATAGAATACTTAATAGATTTTTAGTATATAATAGAAGATAGATAGATGTTATTGGTGGTAGGCCCATACCAAACATAGCAACAGGTGAAGATTGTGACAGCGTAAGAGAGATCTTGCACAGCAAGTATAGTAAGGTTGAGTGATCACTGATCAGCAGGCTATACAAATTGGTCCACATTAGCACAATCCTATATGGAAGGGAGAGAAACAAAAGGAGCGATCAGAAGAGAGTCGGAAATTCATCTGTCGTGGAGCACTAGCACAAGAAACAAGCTAGGCTCTATCGCTCTTCTGCACCCAATGCACTTGAGAGGTTATTTGGTTAAGTGCCACACAGACACACAGTATCACGTCAAATGTTAGACATGTTATAGTTTATTAGGTTAGTTTTTATTTGTTTGTTTCAATTGTGATAAGCCACACTTTGTTCCTCCATTGGCTTGTATACCATATACCTATTGTCTAGCCAGACATTGCCTTACTTGTGGCCAATAAATTGTTGTCCATACTTATAGCAACTTGAGTTATGTCAATGTTATCCAGGGTTTCAAATTTTGAAACTGACACTTCTACCACAGGTGGGCGATAGAACCGAAATTTCTGAAATTTTGGAAATTTCAGAAAAATTTTCTACGGAATTTTTTGAATTTTTGACAGAATTTGAATAAAATTTGACCAAATTCAAAAAAAGAAATTGCAAAAAACCGAAATTTTCGGGCGAAACGTGAGCATTTCGGTGAACCCTGATGTTATCCAACAATCAAGCAAGTGCTGGTCAATATAGTTTATGCGTTTTGTGGGCCTCTATTTTCTCTCCACCATCCTGTGTGACCATAAGATAGAGAGAGATGTTTATATCTGATCCAAATATTCTGTACACACGCAAGAATAAAATGCTTGAGAATTTATGCACAGATGGATTTCAAGTTGTAATAAGTTTTGTTTGCTTGAATCTTTTTTTCAGATGGCATGGAGAAACTTTACGCGAAAGCCTTAAGCGCCGGGAGCATTTTCTGGCCCTGCAACTCGGCCTCAAGAAGGGGATGAAGGTCAATGTTCTGTTAATTAACAACCTTGCATGCGATGGGACATGGCAATGTGATTATTGCTACTGATGACACAGTTGAATCATGCATTCCTTCTCTGTATATACTGCAGGTCCTAGACGTGGGGTGTGGAATTGGAGGGCCCTTGAGAGAAATTGCCAGATTCAGGTAATGAAGATTCTATAATCACCACACAAATTTATGCTCATGTGTAAATTGACTTTAGTAAAACAATAATTCAATGCTACCCAAATTTAGCTCAGCATCGGTGACTGGATTGAACAACAATGACTACCAGATATCAAGGGGCCAGGTAATGAGTTCTTGTTTCTTTGTTTTCTTTTTTTTTTAACTTTTTTGTCGGGAGTCATAATATACTCCTTCAAGTGGAAAAAAAAAATGAAACTGCCACCATGGCGAAATAAACAGTTGAAATTTGATCTTCAATTTCAGGAACTCAACTTTTCTGTCGGTTTGAGTGAAACTTGCAACTATGTGAAGGTAGACACGTACCCTCCAACCACCATTTCAATATTCTAGGATCATTTCAGCAACAAAAAAAACAAATTGCCATGCAGGGTGACTTCATGAACATGCCAATCCCTGATTGTACCTTCGACGCAGCCTACGCCCTCGACGCGACGTGCCACGCCCCTGACGCTGTATGCATAGTAGCTCACAGAGATCAAAGAAAAAAAAATTTCCCTTTAATTTATCATATCTCCAGCAGATTTGGTAAAATGAAAATCGTTCTCGGTGTGTGAGTTCGTTCAGGTCGGTGTCTACAGTGAGATCTTCCGAGTGTTGAAACCGGGAAAGTTGTTCGCGATGGACGAGTGGTGCCTGACTGACAAGTATGATCCTGACAACGCGAGGCACCTGAGCATCAAGGGGGAGCTCTAGCTCGGCAATGGCTTGCCGGACATCAGAACCACCAGGCAGTGCATCCAGGCTCTGAAAGATGCAGGCTTTGAGGTGCAAATGAACTTAATTGCATCTTAATTTCAGAGCCCAGCAAATTAAAGCTTCTGAATTCTTCAAACCTGCAAATTGGCAAATCATTTATTTATGACCAGATCATCAGATTAAAGCTTTCTTAACTCTATGATCTTGTGTTTATGAAGGTTATATTGGCGAAGGATATGGCAGAGGAATCGCCGTTGCCATGGTACCAGCCTCTTGATCCCAGCCAGCTCTCGCTCACACACTTCCAGTTCACCCGTATCGGCCGCTTCCTCGGTCAAACACTGGTTAGTAAGCAGTTCATCACCCAGACTGAAGCAACTGAATTTTTAGCATGTTCTTGGGAGAGACTGTACAGTACAATTGACTTCTTTTTACCTGCGAAAAATCCACAGTTGAAGTCGCTTGAGTTCCTCCATCTTGCCCCGGAAGGAAGCCTGAGAATCTGCAGATTCCTTGCGACATCGGTCGATTCCCTCGTGAAGGGCGGGAAGTAAGTCGATCAGCCCTGCCATCCTCGAGCAAATTTGAAGCAATAAAGTTTGAATTCATGTCCAACTTGAAACAAAACATTGCTGATTGAATGGTGATTTTTTTGTTCCCAGGGAAGGGATATTTACACCCCTTTTCTTCGTCTTGGCTCGCAAACCTCTGCAGAAGCAGGAAGAACAAATCTGAAAAGAGCAAGTGTGGTACTAGTATCACCTTTACTACTACTTTTCTACTTTCAATGGTGTGCCAAGTGTTTGTCATAAAATGCAAAACAGTTTGATCAGAGTGTACTTGTCTGAACCTGCCTGTGAACAGTGTGTACATGGAAAACATTGGTTGTAAACTTAGTAATTTTGTTATGTGGAATAATTTCTGTATGTACATGAATTCAATAAAAAAAATATGTTCCATCTTTCTCTTTTTCCAGTAAATTCAACATCAACAACAGGCGGAGTGTTTCAGTCAATAGTATTTCACCAAACCGGAAATAGAACACTTTAAAGACTATTAGGACTACTTTGAATCAAATGATTTACGATGGAATTTTAAAGGATTCAAATCCTATTTGGCTATTTGACACAAAGGATTGGAGCTGTCCAAATCCTATGAAAATCCTATAAAATAACTCATTGCATGTAGATTTTAGAAGAAACTTAGCAAGTGCTTCAACATCATGGAAAATTCCTTTGAGTATCTATCTCTCTCATTCGATTGCAGTATTTTTATGCGGTCTAATCAAACGACTATTCATGTGTTTTGCAATCTTCTATTTTGCACTTACATTCCTATTAAAATCTTATATTTTTCCTACTCTGTTTTTCCGCTTCCAATTTGAGTACAAATGTCCATGTTTACATCGAAGTAAAATACAGTTAAAACCTACGGGGCATTGCAGAGTACCTGAAGTTCTGAACATGATCCGCATATTTCTGAAATCAAAAATAAAAAAACAACACCGAAACATAATTACGAAAGAATTGACAAGAGATGGATGCATCGATGACAGCGAAAGAATCAAACGGGAGTAGATGCATCGATCAGAGCAAGTTCTATAATAGAGGTAACTACTGCCTTTAATTTTATCCATATCATCCACCAATAAATTAAGAAGCAACGTATACAGTAATTCACCTCAAATATATAAATACCAATGCCTCTATTCCTCTCGTACCTTTTTTGGAGTTTATGTGGTTGTTAACTTTCGCATCAGAGCCTCCATCTCATCACCCAATCAGATGTGATATTCTTAGAGGCAACGCATCAAACATTACCATTACAGTACTTGCTCTCATGCATCTGCATCGCCACAGTAGCGACTCAAATGCTAACAACACGTTGGTGTATGAGTCCTCCCCTAGGCCATACTGCAGATCAAGTGATCTTCCGATCCCCTCAGACATCTCTGGTACAGATCGAATGCTCCTTGATGGCGGCACCTAGGAGGAAGCAACGTAGATAAGTGACAATGGCAGCGGCAGTGCAAAGAGAGGTGACTCACCTAAAACTGTTTAGGGGCCTATCCAGGTGCGCTTTTATGGGCCCAACTGAAAAATGTTTATGTGCCTGTATTTTATATTGGTTTAAGCTCTAAAACTGTGTTTCTAAGTAGGCCCTTACCGCGGGTAGAGCAGCATATGCATGATTCCACGCCTACAGGTATAAAAACAGCAAGAATAAGAATTTCAGAAAGAAAAGGAAGAAGCTTAAAGTTCAAATATAAAGGATGAGAAGTACTAACATACATGAAAGAAGTTAGACTTTAGACTTAGGGAATGTGAAGAAATCGCAGCATGTGCTTACTCAACAAGGGCATGTTGTTGCAGTGATGCAATCGGTGAATAGCTAAATTAACATGTAAATATCGAATTGTTACAACATTCTTGCGCTGGCAGTATCCTAGCGACTATTCGTACATCAAAAACTCCAAAATTGAAACTGGAACGAGTATAGTTAGCTATTTCTTTCATGCTATCCACTATAATACAGAAATTAATACCCTTATGAAATGAGAATTTAGTGGAAAATAACAACATGGAGGGGTTATTTAGAGTTTGACCTCGCCCTTAAATTGCGCCCTCATTATAGGCTAGTGCAAGTTCTCTAAGATGCTATTGTACAATCGATTTTGTTTTGTTTTGGCCAGCAAACTCCGTAAACATCTGGTAGAGAGAGGTGCGCGCTTGAAGATGTAAGGGCCCAAAGAGGAAAAAAATTTGGGCAAAGTCCTTTCTAGTGAATCTGATGCAGCGCTATCCACGGACAAAATGGCAGAACCGTGGTTTCATACTCTGGGAGACCGTTGCACTCTACTGCGTCGGCCGTTCTTGCGTGGTCCTCCTCGCAGGGCCAAAATACTACGGTAACAAAATTGCTTATACAATGGCATTTCCTCGTTAGGGACAAACCATAAAATCAGACGTTTATCATTTATATGCAGAAAACGGTGGCGATAATTCCGGCTAACCGATAATCGCTTCAATAATTCATTCAACCAGTCCAGTAATAATTGTCTAAAACATTGTTTATTAGAACACCGGTATATCCAAATCGAATCCAAACACGGACAGGCGCCAGTTGATTTCTGGCATCTTTAGTACTCGACCAACAGAACGAATCAGCTACATGAGGAAGAATATCATGTACAACCCAACAAAGTGACAAGGTGTAGGGACGTTGGCATCACCACACCCTCACGGGAGAAGTTTCTGCACGATCAGCGTCAGCATCAAAAAGATCTGTAGTTGGCACAGCTAACAGTTTCAGCACAAGCTACACCACTTCACATTACGTTGGAGCATCGTTCTCCTGCCGTTTTGCTTGATCCCTGCCGTTTTTTTCTTGATAGATCTCTTGAGAAATCGCACGGCAAATAAATGGGGGTAAAGCGTGCTATCATCTGCAAGCACCATGGCCCGTACGACCGTGGAATTGCAGTTCAAGCCTTGCTCAAGCTGTAACTCAAGCATTTGTACAACTTAGCTGCTACTATCGGCCACGCGCCATCTTTCGCCTCTTCCTCTCCTGCTCACGTCTTTCTTCCTCCTCAATCAGGCGAAGTTGCTCGTCATCCTCCTCCTTTGCAATTCTCGCGCTAAGAGGTAACAAAAAAAAAGCTAATAAGTTAAGAGATTAAAAGCAAAATATCCATATGACAAGTGAATTTGAATGTACAGCAGTCCTGCAGTTCAAGTTTCTGGAAATGATACTCAATCATGATGTCAAATGCATCTTGATCAAGTGCATATGCAGCGCAAAATCATGCATAAATTAGCATGTGATAGTACAATATTATAGCGAAAATAAGCATTCTTTTTCCATTATGTTCCTCACTGAGGCAGAATATAAGATAATCCTTAATGATCCCTATTTTTCTTCACTTACCATAGTTTAACAGATTATAATGTTCTAAATGAAAAGAAGGTATTGTGTTAGAAAGCAATAAGGGAGTACATACCTTCTTTGCTCTTCCATTTCTATAGTAGCAAAATCTGCTTCCATGTCGCTATCATCGTCATCTCTGCCTGCATATTTACTAGGATCATACCTGCACAGGACAACCAAAGTTTTCATATAGTGTCCTTCAAAACAAAAAATAGTATGGAAGCATAGTCCAAAATTAGCTCATTCGCATGCCATAAAATTTAAAGCAAATGGACTTGATTTCAAGAAATCACCAAACTGAAATGCATAATGGCAAGCCTGATCTATCTTTTCAGCAGATCTTGAAATCAGAAAACAATGCTTAGCATAACTAGTGCAAGGTCCCTGTTCAGAGTATCATTCCAACTCTTTGTAGACACTCAATAACAACTAAAACACTAGCCAACAAAGTATATAAGACTAGCCCAGCTTGTGCAGAAAGGACCACATACAAGAAATTCATAAACTGACATACCTAAACATGCTCCTGATCATTGCCAACGGATCTTCCTCATCTTCGCTAAGATCATTAAATCTTCGTTTCATCGGTTGCTTTTTCTTTGCATGGGCATCACGCATTCCGTTGGAAGGTATTTGTCGTGATGGCTACAGGAACATGATAGCGAAGAAATAAGCTTCAGAGAAACATATGATCCTAAATAATTGCCCAAATGCATGTGAAACATGACAACAAAGGAAAAGCTGACAAATTTGCTTCGCAGAAGTATTACCATGGGTTTCGAGGGAGGCCTTATCTGCCTTTCTGCCGACTTTACTCTATCATTTGCCTGGATTCTTCTTTGCTCGGAGTACTGGCGGCCTTGTACTGAACTAGGCCTCTGCCCTTGCGACGACTGTGGCCTGTAGCTTTGTGAAGGTGGCCTTTGCCTCTCCGAGGATTCCAATCTCTCATTTTGTGAGGATAGCTGTGGTCTCTGTCTCTGTAATGATTGCTGCGGTCTCTGACTCTTCGACATCAGTTGTGGCCTTGTATTTTGTGGTGACTGCTGTGGCCTTCGGCCCTGCAATGACTGCAGCGGCCACTGACTTTGCACAGGTTGATGTGGCCTCTGACCATGCGAGGTCGACTGCATCCTCTGACTCTGTGAGGATTGTGGTCTCCCATTCTGTGACAAAAGTTGCTTTGAAGCTGAATGATTTGCCCTAAGAGATTGATCACTTACACTCTTTATAGGAGGCCTGTTGGCAATAGGAGCCTTGCTAGGAAGCTTTTGACTTGCAGCTTTGCTTGTAGTAGCCTGGGTGGATCCATTTCTAACCACACTATGCATTCTTCCATTGTCAGGCAAGACAACCCTTTCTCTGTTTGCACCAGCCACCTTTCTGTTGGAATCTACCCTACCTTCAGTATGCCTCTGACTGGACAATGTGTTCTTCAATCCATATCCATTAGACAATCTAGCAGTTTGGCCTGTCGGTGCTCTGCTCTTCACAGCTGAATGTGTCGACTCGCGATCTTCGATGTCAACGAACCAACTATTAGCATTACTTCACTAAAAATTAAAGAACAAGTTCAGTGAAATCGCAATTCACTCACCAGACTTCTGACTCAAGGAGGACCTAGCCACAGGTTTCTCCATTGGAGAAGGTGAAATGTCAGCATCATCTGACAGTAGAAATGAATAGTCTCGATTATCCTTAAGTGCCTCAGCCTTTCTTTTTGCCTGCAAATTCCAGCTGCTATTTTATGACACAACTCAAGTTTTAACATAGCAAACATAAAAATGATCCAATGAAAGAGAAGTTCATTGTACCTCATTTACAATCTTCTGTTTGTGGTGATGTCCATTTGTTTTAGATTGCACTTTAGATGATGATGGTATCTCCTTCTACACATAGTTAAACACAATTATTACAAAAGTTGAATCAAAGATAATTAGGGTCAGATGTAGGGCTACATACTGCAGAAGGCCTTCGATCCCTGGACATTGACGCTGTGTTCTGTAGTTCTTTCAGTGATTTTCTTTCTTCAATTACCCGCTGGGAAATCACCGGCTTGGATGGCCCAAAGAAGGATCCAAAACTACACAAATAACATAACTATAACAAAGGTCTTGGAGAAAACATAAAAGATATTTGACCTCACATATCAGAAAATACAAAGTATGCAGAGTAGAGCAATAGCATAATGTATACAAGTGTGGTGTAGTATTTAAAAATAACACCCCCACCCAAATGCATCTACGGTTTGTTTCCTGCAGGAATCCAAACGAAAATTGATTCGACACGTTCGCATTAAAAAACAACTATGATGAAACAATCCAATTTCAAATACAACATTTCAAAAAGGATGTACCGGGGAATGTATTAACTGATAACTCTCAGGCTCCAAAGCAATAGTAATAAACAATGTAACCAACAAATGAAAAATACTCAGCAAGTTTTGATGAACTAAACTTAACATGCTAAAGATTGTGATGGGACGTAGATAAAGGAGCCATACATTGACTACCTTTTTTCAATCAACTAAAAATTTCAGCATTATTCAAGTTCCTGGAGAAAATCAAATATGATGCTTGAGAAAGTTTAACAGAGGTTTATTGATCCTAGAGACAAAATTGCATAACAATCAAAATGTAGAAGAGACATACTTAACACTTACGTGGATTGAGGTTTTCTATCATGTGAGGAAGATGAGCGGCCAGCAGCGCTAGCACTAGCAGCCTGCGCCTTTCGCCTAATCTGCTCCTTTAATCGTTCTCTAATTTGAAGGAACTCTTGCTGTCCCTCCGGCGGCTCGTCATCCTCCTCGGCATACTCTTGACCAGCACCCTCCCCTTCCTCATCATATGGATCTTCACTGTAGTACTCGTCTTCATAGTCATCCTCCATTCCCCGATGATAACCCTTCAAGATGATCGATCGTCATCAGCATGGGAAATAGAAGCGCTTTCACATTGAAATGACTCAAGTTCCTATTGTTCTTTCAAAGGATTTAGGTACTATACTCATGATTATAAACGTAGTATTCAGCAAAGTTTGATTCCTACTGTTTATAAGAATCGCATCCAAAATGGAACTGAACAGGATATATCGTGCAAAAGAACAGATCTTACATTGGTCGCGTACTCGTAACCCCCCATTTCCAGCAAGATCCCGGCCGTATCAGTCCCGCAATCCCTGAATCAAAGCCAACAACTTGGTCAGTTCAAGAACTCGTCGAGAATTCTCCACGGCGCGTTCAACCTCGAACCAATTAAGCACCCCGATCGGAACCAAATATACACCGAACAACGCAACAATCGACCAAAATTCCCGCTGCAACAGACCCCTCCACTGGAAATCCCCGCTCCGAATGCAAAGCAGCAGGCTCCCCCCACCAACCCATCTAGGGTTTCGACAGGTACAGCGACGCGAATCTGGGACACCCGCGTGAGGCGAAAGCAACCCGCGGAGCCGCCACAACCCGGATTAGGAGAGGGGGGGGTCTCACCTCTGGCCGGGGGGAGCACGGAGGGGGCAGGCGCCGGATTGTCCGGCGGCGGCGGCGGCGACGACGACGGCGAGGGCGCGGATTCGAATTCGATGCCCCCCGGCGCCGCGCGCGACGCGGCTGGCTGGATCAGAAGGAAAAGGCGCCGGGGCCGGCGGGGAACCAGCGAGGACGACGACGAGGGGCGGCCTGCGGGGGGGCGGATCCCGGCGGCGCGGCCGGGTGGAGTCGCCGGAGCGAAGCGGGCGCCCGAGGGGGTTGGGGGGGGGGGGGGGCGCAGCTAGTACTAGGAAGAGGAGACCGAGATGAGGGTGGATTGGGCGCAGGGTTAAATAGGCCATAGTAGATGGGTAAGAAACTGACGTCGTCGTCCTTCCGCCGTGTCTCTAGAATGTACTCATGGGCTGTCTGGCTGGCTGAGATGGGGGCCCAAACTGATCGAGGTCAGGAAGGCCGTTTTGTTGCCCGAAATGCGAGGGGGGCCCAAATGATGAGAGGATGTCAGAAATGGCCTTTCTCCGACTACAATCCTCCCCCAGGTACCCGATTAAATTATTCTATATGAAAAATCGAGGTTGTCTCCCGATCCGTATCCATACTACAATTCTACTAGTCAAAGCGATACTGACACCATCTAATATCTTAACTTTCATAATATCTCGATTCTATTATTTATTACCACACGATCTTACAAAATCTTAGCTATTGTATCGATTCAACAATCCTTAAGATTGTAAATAATGTAAATAATCTTAGCTACTATTTACATTATTTTTAAACCATCTAATTATGCTCAAGTTTACATAAAAATCAGTTGAATATGTGGTTTCTCTTGATAAATATCTCTATTTGCATGGCATATATTATTACTATATTTTTTATATAGAATGGCTATATGTAATTAATACAAATATTAATTAAACTTAAAAGAAAAAATCTCATAGTATCTCGATACTACGATACAATACTACATTGAGCAAAACGATATTACCTAGGATCCCGATATTGATAACCTCAGCGGTACCTCCCTATTTCTCTCTCCATGCATACATAGCACTGTAAGTTAGCAGCTCTGCATGCACATTAGTACCATGTTGCACCTGTCTCCTTTGACTACCACAATACATGCATGCATAAAAGATTTCGCAAATTTTTAGACTTTTTCTCCTATACTATATATCCGATCTACAATTCGATTACACAATGACTATTGTGTTTATTGTAATTAATTCTTCACAACAAGATCTTACTCCCTCCATTCCATAATATAAGGCACAACCACTTTTTTTAGATGTTTCATAATATAAAGTCATACATGCAATTAACTATGACATCTTCACTCTCACATTCACTAATTCTATTGGATGCATGCATTATATTTATTAAGATAACCCAAACTACAAGATGATAATAATTATTTCTTGGTCTTTGGATCAAAGGTGGTTGTGCCTTATATTTTGGAATGGATGGAGTATATGATTATACTTCGATGTAAATATAGTTTTTCTTGTTTTTGTTGTTCGGAGCTCTCTGCAGACAACGGCCATGGTCACACAGCAGCTCCTGAGGTACGAGTTGAACCATACCTCGCGACCTCGGAGCGCCTCCACGGCCCGGTCCCTCTTCACTTCCAATATAGTCCTCTCAAGTTCGGCGACATCGAACTTCGTCTTCCAGTACTGGATGCGATGGTCGCGATCAGCAAGCGCACTTTCGAGGTCTGCTTGACATGCAAATATCTAAGTCAAGCTAATCGAGACAGAAGAGGCAAAGGAAATGGAAACGACAAGAACCAACCTAAAGGAGTCGTCGCCACGTCCATCTCCCCGGGAAGATCCTGGTCTACGCTGTCCAGCGGCACATACGGCTCAAGCTCAAGTGCCGGAACGACTATAGGCAATTCAGGCTGCCCGCGCTACTGGACATCCTCGACATCGGCATCTCTACAAACAACAAACAAAGTACCCGGAATCAAAACGCCAAAGAAAACTAAGGTGACGATTGCACACACAAAAGCAGTCGGAACCAACGAAAAGTTTTACAAAGCGTGATTGGTTAAGAGGTACAGACAAGCGGCGGCCCTACTCTTCAAAAAGCGGGAGGACGGACTCCCCTAGATCGCCGACTTCTTCCATCACATCCTTGCGCGCGTCGCTAGCCGCCCCCTGATCTAAGATCTTATGGAGATCGAGTTCAGGGTGCGCCAGCCTCACACATGCAAGGACGTGGCACGCCCCGGTATAGATCCCGTTGGATGTCTCCTCTCTGATCCTGCCCGCGTGCTTGGAGGGGATCGCCTCCATCACTGTCGCCAGTTCCGCAAGCGAGGTCATTAGCGAGAACTCGTCGGGATTCGCCGATATGGTGGTCGTGACACCGCACTCCCCGACGAGCTGGTGCAGACCAGTGTAGGTGACCTGCAGTGAGCCACGGATTTTTGACAGGTTGTTCTTGACGTCCGACATACGGTGCTCGAGCCCCTGCCGTTGTCGCTTGTTGCCGGCCACTAGCTCCCTCATCTTCTGGAGGTCCTCGCGAACCTCCGCCAGATCACACGTCAGCTAGTCGGCGCGCTCATTCGCCGACGACGCCGCCGCCGCCCTCGCCTCCGCGATCTCGCGACTAATGCCGCGAGCACCAGCCTCGAGGATGCACCCCATCTCGACCTGGAGCTCCTCCCAAGTGAGGACGGCAGCTGGCGGACCCCGACCAGCCGCGAGGTCGCTGGCTGCGCCGTTGGGTGTCACCTCGCGGCTCCTAGGCATGACCACGACCTCGGTCGAGGCCACTGCAGGAGACGCGCTGGAGTTTGCTCCAGACCCATCTTGCGCCGCCTTCGCCTGCGCCCTACGAAAGACGACCATGTCGGTCATCGCAACAAGACGATAAAATCCGATCAAGTCAAGAGCCTCAAATTTCGTCCACTTACTTCTTGCCGAGCGTCACCAGCCTCTGCCGTCGCAGAGGCGGGCGAGACGCATCCGAGGCCTAAGTAAACCGAGTACGACATGAGGGCGACATTCTCCGACTATGTAAATCAATAACCTAGGAAGCTTACCGATGGAGCGGGCGTCTTCCGGCGGTTGCCAAGCACGGAGGAAAACTTCCTCCCCTTCTTCGGAACCTTGCCGCCACTGGTTGTGGCAGCAGCAGCGGCAACGGCTGCGTCGGACGCCTCCTGGGCAACGCCCTCCTTCAACGAGGCCGCCGTCTGGTGGTCCACGAGTGGCCCGATGATGTCAGTCAGGGGGAGAGCCTGCACAACATGAAGTCACGATACGATCAAGGAATTGAAGGGTAAAGGACCATCGACTACACTCACATTGATCGCGGCTTCACGCTCAGCCGCCTCCCTCTCGCAAAGAGGGGTGGGGACGTTGCTGCCATCGTGGGACCGCTAATCATCACCTGGGCAACACGGTGCTCCACGGTTGCGCTGCTCAGACCTGCAGATCGAGAACCAAGTTTCGACAAGTCAGGAGGAATGCACTTAAAAGGAGAGAAACCCAAAATACAAGAAAAATACCCCGAGTAGAAACTCGGGTCGCGTCCTCCGGCCCAGAGTAGTCAAAGGCTGGATGGGCTCGAGTCTGGAGCGACTGGGTCCGTCTACCAACAAAGTCGGCAGCGACTTCATACCCCGACAACCCTCGTACTCGGAGGTCATCAATAATATCGATGAAAGATTGGAGGGATGGGGTCAAGGCGGGTTTGGCGGTCTAAGATGGAATCTTGTCTGGTTGCTCCTCATGAACAATGAAGATTGGATCCGAATCTTCTATCTGAAGATAGAACCACCTCCCCCGCCATTTGCTACGAGACGAGGGGCACTGGAAAGGAATGTATCGCGACTTCAGTCCATCCCGAAGTCAGAAACCGACACACCCGGATACCTTTTTGGGTTCCATCCAGCGCAACTTGTAGTAAAAGCGGAAAAGGTCAAGAAACGGCTCTACCCCAATGTAGGCCTCACAGAGATGAGAAAAAATGCTGAGGAAGGCTATGGAGTTGGAGTTCAGATGAAGCAGAGAAAGACCGTAGAAGTTCAAGACGAGAAGGAAAAACTCGGAAGGCGGAGGAAGAAAACCACAGAGAATGTAGTCCTCAATCGCAACCATGCGGCCTAGGACGGGTTCAGGTTCAGTACCTCCCGGTTCCCTCTCCATGGTCCCGTGACCGGGGAGAGTGCCCTCCTTCTGCAGTTTCTTCAAGGACGCGTTGCTGGAGGTGGACTTGTCGAGGTCCATCGCCGTTGGAGATCGCCGGAGAAGAAGCTGAGGCAGACGAACTTAGGGTTTGTGTGGAAACGGAGAAGACGAAGAGCATTTGGAGGCAAGAAAGTTCTCACAACAGCCGGACCCCAAAATGGATTCCCAAAACTCCCTTAAATAGGCGCACTACCGACGGTGCGAATTCCAAGGAAAGGAGAGAAATGGCCGCCGGAAATTTCTGGGTCCATTGCGCGAAGCGGTTTCTTGGACTTCAATTTAAATTCACTCATAACCGTTGGACTTCGCATGGGGTTGTCGATCACTCTTTGTCTCTACGGTCCTCACACCGAGATCGACCAGTCGAGAACGACAACAACTTTGACATCAGAAGTTGCGATTGGTTACACGAGTTCATTTAAGAAGAAGTCGGGGGCTCACTGTCAGGGTTACGGATAAGGTATACCCTCTACCCTTGGATGTACGCTATACGGCAATATGGTATATCGGCGCATATAAGGACGTTCTCTGAACACGCTAAGGAAATCCATCACGAAGTCTACCAATGGGAAGGTTCCTACCCGTATAGGACTGGGTCATTACTATATCGTGCAGGGTCCGATGTCTCCAAGTCCTACTTGGAGACCGCCTGACCTGCGATATAAAAGGACCCCCCGAGGGGACCTAAGGCATCCAATCTCAGAGCTTACACAATGACCACAGCCTACGAAGTCGAAGACTACAGGGGCCAAGTCGCCGAGTGATCTAGTCGAATCAACTTGACTACGATCTCGTCGGTACCGCCGAGTTCTACTATTCCCTTTGTAATCTGTGGTTCTTTCCATATAATCCCATATTAACTAGATTAGGGCAATTACCTGCTAAGGGGACTGAACCAGTATAATCTTTGTCTTTTGTTTCCTTGATATCGTATTACGTAGATCCTCGTACCAGCGTACCCCAATACCCTCTATATCCGGTCTACGGGTACCCACCGTTGACAAATTCTATAGTATAATTAAATTATGTCCAGAATCATCTTTAGATTTGGTTTTTTTATAGGACAGAAGATCTTTAATACTTGTATA